ATATAATTATATAGGCCTATATATATCCATCAGCGAAAAAAAAACATAGAAATTATAAATACGATAAAAACAACTTTGCATTTAAAATAATATTACAGGTTGAATAAATATTGATGTGATCGTCGTGAAGGCTTTATCTTATCATGATTATATTGGTTCCTTTTTTTAATAGAGTTAAGAAAACATTGAGTAGTATTTTATTGTATCATTTTATTCTTAGTACGGTACATGTCATCATTGGCGGTCTACATATGCAATAACTCACAAATTATTTAAGAAAAAAACCCTTTAATGTTTTAAATGTTTGTATGTTCTAGACGTGTCCTGGGTTAAATGTTTACATTTTTTTGTACAAATTGTTTTCGGGAATATGAAGAATGAAAGAAGAATAATACCAATTATTTTCATATAGGCCTAGCCTCAATATAGGCTACCGAAGTATTACCGGGATAGCGCTCCACAACACCCCCACCACCCTCCAACAAAAGATAGCAGGCCTATTGGGTCTGATGGCAACGACAGCAACGAACGCGGATATAATAAATATACGATTATGTATAACAAACATAGGCCTAATTAGATTAGGTTTTAACTAAAAATATAGGCCTATTAGCCAATAGAAAAATATAGAAATTGTTAGGCCTACTATGAAAAATATAATTAAAGTTCCGATAGACCGGTCTTCAAAGCAAGATATTTTTAACTTTTTTCGAACGATGATTACATAAGGGAGTAGGCCCATTTATAATTCTGACTACTTTTTAGGTAAGAATAATTTATGCGATACAACAGAATAGACTAGTTGTGAAAAACCCTAATTGAATTGAAAGCATTGTTTAACTTTCCGAATTTAATTTTTCATGGTTCTTTCGGTGGTTTGAATGTTACGATTAGGCCTACATGCTGATCAGTATTTTTAACTGTTTCAAAATTTTTGCCAATGGAAACAGAATTTCAATTTTACTTGTCTAAATGGACATTAAAGTTTATTGATTGATCGATTGATTAATATTAATCTATTTATTGTAGTGTTTGATAATTAACTATGACAAAAGATTCATATAGGCCTATGGATGAATAAACAAATACAAATGTATGACAAAAGTGATCCTAATTAGGCCTATGTATTCCTTAAAGTAAATGGTCACATTTTAAAATACTCCTAAGTTTAAGCATGGACCTATTAATAATAGGTCCAGTTTTTAAGGAATAGGATTAGTTATTACTTTCTTGGATTTTTTAATTCATGTTTAGTTAAACGAGAACTAGCATATCAAAAATCCTTTCTAGAACAAAAAAATCATTTTGCTAGTTCTCTTTTAATACATGAAAATATTTTAACAATTGTGATTTATTCAGTCAAATATGGGTACTCATTGCTACAATATTTTTTTAAATAAATATATCATATGCTTTATAATCATTTGGGGGATTCCTTGGTAACTCTGGGAATGAATTATAGGAATTAAAAATGTTGGACACATCTCATGTCCAAGAGATAGACAAAAATAGGCTATAAAACTTTGATTAGAGCATTGCTTTGGCCTTTTTTTCGACTTTGCGTAAAATAAAATTGGTTCTGTTTTGAATTTTCATTTTTCGTATGCAGGTCTCCGTTTTCAAATATAAAGAACAACACCACCACCACCATTCTTTCATATAAATTATCCTACCCAACAATCATTCATTTGTTTTAAGATTTAAAAAAAGGCAATAAAAAATCAAGCAAGACTATAATAGGTAGGTGCCAGCAGCTTTAAAAGCAAAATAATATAACAATAAAAATAAAAAATAAAATAATTTATTATTTCGCGACGTCATCAACGAGTACAATACATTCATTATCCATCAACTAAACTACCTTAAAGAAAAAAAACATTGGTTCGTGTGGGAATCGAACCCACGACCTTCAAAAAAAAAATTTAAAAATTTAAAAAAATTTGGTGTACATGCTAGTTTCGCATAAATGCGATTAGGCTCACTGTCAGCCTACGCCACCTTCGCATAAATGCGAATTAGTGAAGGTCTTCCAAAAAACGACCATAGAGCGGCTGTTTTAACACTAACCCAAATAGTGTTTACTGCATATAAAAGATAATGAATGTCTGCACATTTTGATGGTCACGGGAGCCCTGATTTTCACTACAAAATAAGAAAGAAAGGGGGAAAGATAAAGATAAAAGGAAAAGAAATGAAAATCATAAGACAGAAAAGGAAAATAATAAAAAAAGACATATGAAAGAAATGGAATGGAAAGGAAGTATTATTATTAGTAGTAGTAGTAGTATTATTATTATTAATATTAATATGCATATTATATTATTAAAAGGCCTATTATTATTAGTATTATTGTTATTATTATTATTAGGCAAATTATAATATAATAAGGAATATTATTATTATTATTATTATTATTATTATTATTATTATTATTATCAACACGATATTCAAACTTAAGACAATGATTAATTAGTCGTTTTGCAAGTACACGACTTTTACAATCATTCAAGAGATTTTTGCTTTTCTCCCCTTTTTAACTTTCACTTTTGTATTAGTAATA